AATATTGCCTATGCAAAGGCGTTACCGAAATGATCTTGATTTCAATCACATCAGCTCGTAACTCATGTGATATATCCTTTCCAAGATGGCGAATGTCGTTGAAATAACGTTAAATCAACATTATTTCAACGTCAGATGCATAGCCGGGTGCTGTCAGCCAAATGTCAAAATTTCCTGCACGACAAGAGGTAGGTGAGGATAACTTAATGACAAAATGACGCCATGTGAGCGACAACACTCGATACTATCGTAAAACATTTAAATAAAAGATTAACTATCCTTAATACGCTTCTTTCCCCTCTCCTGTTCCTGGTCTCTAGTAACAGAAATAGTCTCTCCTCTTACGGTAGTGTCGCGTCATCTTTATTGCTGCAGACTCGGTCGTCAACTTGCTGCAGACTCGGTCATCATTTGACGTTTACATTTGTTCATCAGTCCATATTTACAGCTTTTAATCAGTCCGCATCTGCAGGATTTCACTAGTTTACATTAATATTTTTCTTCCTGCCACACTTGATATTTTTAATCAACTACGTTTTCATTTTTGCCTCCATTCATAGTTTTTTACTCAGTCCAAATTAACATTATTTTATCAGTCAATATATAAAGTTTTTGGTATAGTGACAGCCCACAGGTTTAGTGATCAAGAGAAGCAACGGTCACATTAAACGCTTCATCATTTGAACACAAATCACATCAAGATTTTTCTTTATCCTGAGAAACGCAGTAAATGTTCATTTACAAGCGACTTTTTTCAAAGTCTACGTTTATCTGCTTCTTCCACGTCCAAATCTCTGATCTCGATTAAAACACTGTCTGATAGAAGCTTGAATTATTGTCAGCCTCATTTATGATTGATTCACTATGCATATATATTTAGTGAGAGCCGAACAAAAATGACTTCTATTCGGAAGAATAAAACTCAATGGAATTCTGCATTCGCATCAAAGGAAAATAAAACAAACTTGGCCCGGCGTGCTGGACGCGCCTGACATTTTATTTGCTCAATAACATAAACACACCTTGGAAAATTTCTCTCAGAAACTTCAATCGACAATACGCAATACCGGTAAACTTTTTTTAATACTTCTGTGCAGTTTCGTGCTGAAAAACAACCATAAGTGTGTTAACAAGTGATGACATTTTCAACTGTACATAGAGCGATGAATTGGAAAAAAATAGGTAGTGTCTGAAAACCAGCTTTGCTGAACAACGCTCGCAAGCAGAGACTATCAAAGTCGTTCTACAAACATCCACCAAGCTGCATCGAATGAAAACAAATAAAAATAAGCTATGCTAAATTTCAATAATAGCTTTGGAGTACATCCACTAAAAAGAGGAGCCATTGAAAAACTTCTCAATGAGCGAAACAAAGAGTTCAGAATTTCTTAATGGGAATTCGTCAGGTATGCCATTTTTCTGCTCCTTTTCAACCAGTCGCACAACGTAGGAACTGCGGATGACTAGAAGGTGTGCGTGATTCTCTGGGGTGAGTGAATGAAAAATGTAGATGGTGAGACGATGATTTATGGGCACGGTTGAATCACCCTATCATAAAGGTCCATCGATTGTCTCATCGACAGTTACAACAGTAATCGTAGCCTTCTATTGAAAATAACTTAAAACTTATTCATGTCAAAATTTTCTGTCATAAGTTGATTACAGATAAGTAGTCTGCTGTTCAATGCAGCTAATGATAAGTTCAGCGAAGAAAAACATCTTCTGGCGACGAAGGAAGAAGCCAACCATTTCTTCGCTGGGAGCGAGGGAAGTCTTAAACTGTAAAATTATTCCATCTTTTATAAAAGCCGGGCGAACACGTTTCCAATTAAAATGACTTAAATAAATCGCAACAGCTTATAAAAAACAGTTGAAGATACGTGAGAGAATTTTCTACGGGATAAGCCGGCAGTATTTTTATGTTTTAGCTAGCAGCGCGCTAATGTGCCCCCAACGGGCTCTAGGCAAAGAGCCAGTTCAACGTGGTCGCCGCACCGCGCTGGAACCATCAAAGGGTCATCATATGCCAAATGTACGATGGCGCAGCCGTGGTCCTGATCAGGGGGAGTGGCCCATTCCCAGGCTTCGGTCTCCCCTGTGGGCCAGCGCCATACGCCATCAACGCCCCGGCGGTAGTCGACTGCCACGTTCTTGTCTGCAACTGCAAACCAAACCGACATGAATATTTTGGCTGACCTGTATCTCTAAGATTTATCATAAGAATTATTTGAGTTGTTATTTCCTTTCCTCTAGCCATATTTATTAGGGCGCTACAGAGACAATTTGCTAAATATTCTATTGTGCAAGTTTGTGTGATTATGCTTATGTTTGAAGCCTGGAGCTGCCAGTATACATGAGCTATCTGATTGCATATCCAACGTATCGTGTTTGGACATTGCCCAAATCTTTGATTATAACATTAACAATGCAATTGTGCATCTTTGTATCGTATAATATTGACTGTGCAATCGTGCATCATTGCAGAAAGTCGGGGTAAAATTTTCTTGGACAATAAAATTTACTCTGAATTTAAATTAATCTGAATTTAATTCCTAGCTAGACGTCATTATTGCCCACAAATTTTTCGAATGAATTCAATGGGATTTTCGACGGTGCATACGGATTCTTCATAACAACAAGTCCGACGTTTACAACTTCACAGAATCATGTACAATCGAATTTTACAATCATATGGGTTATCAAACCCGAACATTTACGTGTACGCCAAAGAATAATAAGAATTAATTCATTACCAACTTACGACTTCCAAGATAGTAATCAACATCGAACGCGAGATTTTGCGTCTCGAAAAAGCGATAATCGGCAAACGTCATCCCCATGGATTTGCACTGCGCGGTAGCTTCGCAGAACGACGAGGAGTTTTGAACAAATTCATAGCAACCGGCTCCGTAAGCATAACTTCCATCCCCGCAGCAATTCAGTGGTGGGTGTAGTTGCCACGAGTCTTCCCCCACTGGAATGTCCGAGTAGATTATCATCTAATGGATTATAATACTTGATTGAAATTGTATGATCCACTTCGTAGTCTCCTGCATTTGGTTATGAAATATGAATTACATAAGGTTCGATTCCAGCGTAAGAGAAAAAGAAGAGTTGATTAATTTTAAATCTTTAATTCTTTAATTTATCAGACCTTCTTTCTAGGGTTGAATCATAATTGTACTCATGTTGTTAGTTCATTATGTCATCACTATAGAGCATACACTATGAAAAAGTTCATACTGTCACACTCAGGTTCGAATTTGCTGATCTTACCTGGGCCAACAATGCCAGTCGGGAGGCTCTCATGACACCAGTCATAGAAAGAGAAGAACGGCACGGAGACGTTCTTGTACATGTTGAAACCTGGAAAATGTCCATCCTAAAAAAACTCATACTATATATACATTTTCCATTTTATTAAATAACATAAAACATTCGTATTTTTGTGCATGCTTGTTATTATCAAACTAATAAGAACGATTTTCTGACGCTTCATCCAATATGAACATCCAGTCAAATTCCACCTAGTAAGCACGGTGTTATTATTTATTTTTAAGCATTTAATCGTGACCTGTGATAACGTAGACCACTTCCTGAGGAACGTCGCAGCTTTTCTCTTCGTGCGATAGGTAAACGTCGTCGAAAGTGGCAAGACATTTGCCTTCGTATTTGATCATCCAGGGCTCTGCCGACAACATACTATTATAATTACTTAAACTCACATTTTCATCTGCGTTCGATTCAAAATCATTTAATTTCACTAGGAAAAGTTGACAATGCGGATACCTGCTAACGATTCATTAGTAACCTTGTTCACATCTTTAATATTTACTTGCATGAGCTGCGTGTAATTACCTCGCGTCGTTAAAAGAAGTTATTAGTTATTTACCGGGGAAAAGCTTTATTGACTTCCACAACCCTCCAGCCGTCATGATGCACTGGAGGACTCCAGAGTCATGGACTTACTTAACTGTCCAGCCGTCATGATGCACTGGAGGGCTCCAGAGTCATGGACTTACTTAACTGTCCAGCCGTCATGATGCACTGGAGGACTCCAGAGTCATGGACTTACTTAACTGTCCAGCCGTCATGATGCACTGGAGGACTCCAGAGTCACGGACTTACTTAACTCTCCAGCTGCCATGATGCACTGGAGGACTCCAGAGTCTCCTCCGAGTCTTATCTCGGTCCAGTTCATGGGGCGACTCTGATTCGGAGTGAAGCGCTGGTAGCTAAGAGCGTCCGTGACAGCAACTGAGAAGATGGATCCTTCGAAAGAGTTGGCCTGGGACTGGCACGCAGAGAACAGGCGGGACTGCTTCCCAACCCCAGCCAACTCGAACTGTGGTAAGACATATGGGATTAATGTTATTATACAATGAAGTATATTTGAAACAGTAATGGAATCAAAGTCTTCAAAAAATAATTCATCTTCTGGAGTGTTATTACTAAAAGTTGACATGATGGGCTAAAGATTTCTGAGTTCTACCGAACAAGTTACGACGAAGCTACATGTTGCTTTTCGAAATAGATTCCACAGGCTCAAAAGTTGACACTTCGCCGACGTTGCGAAGTAGCGATAATATAATATGTAGTATACGCCTTAATGTTACAATGCGATAAAACTGTTGCACAGCAATGACGGCACAGTAATAGAACTGGGTACCAGAGAAGCAGCGGGGCTATTGTTGAACCGAGAAAGCATAGGATAAAGAAGTGGATCACACCAAAGACGTGGAAAGTAAGAGAGGAAATATTAAACCGTAAGAAGCTGTTTGAAAGCACTAGATCTGACCGACTGCAAAAGAGGTTCAAGCTGCAGTTACAGAGAGACGAACCTGAAATGAAGCGCTCAGTGAGAGCTGATAAACGTGCCTACCTGGACAACTTGACAAGTGAAGCCGAGGAAGCAGCGAGAGCAGGCCAGCTAGGCACGCTGTCCAAGATTAATAATGCAATTGGTGTCAAGTTTAACAACTGCAACAATGCATAGGCCAAAGATAAGGTGAAAAGCTACCGCAGAGGGGATAAAGAAGAACAGGCGCACCATGCTGAACACGTCAAAGAGGTTCTGAACAGACCACCAACTGCCGAAGACGCTGACATACAAAAAACCAATGAGGACCTGATCGTTAGCATTTCCCCACCAAAGGAACAAGAAATCAGAACAGCAATCAAGTCCTTGAAGAATAGGAAAGCGCAATGCCAAGATGTTCTGAATGTTGAACTTTTCAAGACAGAACCAGTGCTAGCAGCCGATATTCTTCACCCTCTCTTTCCCGCAATATGGGAAGGAAAGCGAGTCCTGGATGACTGGAGCAGTAGAGTGAGTGGCAAAAACTATACATTAACTTCATGGACTTCCAAAAAACCTTCAGTATCCACAGAGAGATTCTTTGGCGCAAATTCTTATACACCAACTTCATGGACTTCAAAAAGGCATTCAGTATCCACAGAGAGATTCTTTGGCGCAAATTCCTAGCGTACGGAAAATCAGTAGAAATTGTTGTGCTGAACCAGAACTTCGATGCCAGCTTATAAGGCTGCGTTAGAAATAGTGAAATCTGGTTTGTGGTTGGAGCCGGGGTGAGACGAGTTAGCGTGATGTTGTCTTTGCTCTTCAACAGTGTCATCAGATGGACGCTTCTCACGAACTTAGAAGACCTAGATTTTGCCGATGACTTGGGCTTGCTGTCGCATACCCATCACCACAAGCAAGAAAAGACGACTCGTCAGAACCCCTCTGCGCAGCGAGTTGGGTTGAACATCAGCTGGACAAAGATAGAGATAACGACTTTAAATACAATCAATTAAACACTGAGGGGGAGAAGAGTTACTAATGGTTGAGAGCTTACCTACCTGAGCAGCGGGGTCGATCGAGAAGGAGGAGAGGAGCGGGACGTACGGAAAATACTGAGCAAAACCAAGGACACCTTCTGTAGCTTTTAAGTAACATCTGGAAGTCAACTCAGTACAGCATCCCCACCAAGCTGAGACTATACCAAAGTCTTGTTCAATCCACCCTTCTGTATGGCTCGGAATGCTGGCGATCGAATAACAGCGATCTCAGTAGACTGTCATTCTTCCAGACCAGAAGCTTGCGGAGAAACCTTGGTATCTTATTGTCAAGGGCAATATCTAACGAGAAGCTGCTTGCCCAGTACAAACAGGAGAGTATGACAACCATCTTGATGAACAAGCGGTGTAACTATATTGGCCACGTCATGAGAAGCGAGAGCAACTCCAGCAGGAAAACTGCTCTCTCTACATTGAACTCCAGAGGGACAACGCATGCGAGGCAGGCCGAGGAACATCTAGCGCCGAATCGATGAGGCGGAGCTGGATACCCTAAACCTCAGTTGGAACACCGTAATGTGGCTGGCCGAGGATAGACAAACTTGGAAGGTCTTTCTTGCTACTCAATGTGCTGACCGCCATAACGGGTAGTAGTATAAGGAAGTAGTTTTCCTAACAGAAGGTCTAGTATCAAGGTTAAAGTCGTCACTGCTATTCCTACCAGGGGCCCAGTATCTTGGTTAAAGTCGTTAATGCTATTCATACTAGAGGGCTTAGTATCAGGGTTAAAGTCGTTAATGCTATTCCTACCAGAGGGCTTAGTATCAGAATTAAAGTCTTCATCGATATTTTTACCACAGGGCTTAGTGTCAGGGTTAAAGTCGTCAATGCCATTCCTCGCAAAAGGACAAGCGTCAGGGTTACTGTCTCCGCTCAAAGGGTTAACAATCCTGCAGTTCAACAGGAGCTGTTAAACCTATAGAAATTAGCGAAATTTTGTCCACAGATCGATACACTTTCTGGCATTCTGTTGACCATCCTGATCCAGTTTGGCCTCGGCAGAAGGGCGTGTCAGTTTTACGACCGTACTCTGTTCGTGCTGTGGGTAAGACAGTGTGTCGCTTTTTGGACAATATTATCCATTAATTATTTTGATAGTACCTTCTGCACGACGTCGCTGGTGCTGCTGGCGGAGACGCTGTAGGCCTAAAAAATAGAGACCAACTTTTTAAAATCTTATTTAAGCAATTTTCACTACTTTAACTTAGGTTAATAACGGTGCTCATTAGTTCAGGACTAATTCTACAGTACATTGACTTGCAAATGATATTGTTCTTATAAACAATCAACCACACTTAACTTTCACCGTTAATCTATAATTGCGATGTAATTGTAGTAAAGGTGAGCTGCTTAATGCAACTTGATATACATTTTTGTATGAGCAAGATTACAATAGGAGAAGTCAGCAACGATAAAGCCGTACGCAATTCAATCGCGATATAATCATTGATTATTACAGACATATCATATTGTGAACTAAACCACACATATCATAATCACACAAACAAAATCATGAGCTATCTTTTCAAAAATCGAGAGTTTATATGTCAATTATTTATTATTATTGAATAAATTATTTTTGCAACACCTCTTCTCCCATTCGCATAATGCATTGAAAATATTCACAAGTTAGACCAACAGTATTACGCGGCTGTTGTACAATAAACGCAACTGATGTACAATAAACTCACTGAATAAACAATAAACGCAATTGATGTACAATAAACTCACTGAATGTACAATAAACGCAGTGGATGTACAATAAACGCACTGGATGTACAATAAACGCACTGAATGTACAATAAACGCAGTGGATGTACAATAAACGCACTGGATGTACAATAAACGCACTGGATGTACAATAAACGCACTGAATGTACAATAAACGCAGTGGATGTACAATAAACGCAGTGGATGTACAATAAACGCAACTGATGTACAATAAACGCAGTGGATGTACAATAAACGCACTGGATGTACAATAAACGCACTGGATGTACAATTAACGCAGTGGATGTACAATAAACTCACTGGATGTACAATAAACGCAGTGGATGTACAATAAACGCAGTGGATGTATAATAAACGCACTGGATGTACAATAAACGCAGTGGATGTACAATAAACGCACTGGATGTACAATAAACACATTGGATGTACAATAAACGCACTGAATGTACAATAAACTCACTGGATGTAGAATAAACGCAGTGGATGTACAATAAACGCAACTGATGTACAATAGACGCAACTGATGTACAATAAACGCAACTGATGTACAATAAACTCACTGAATGTACAATAAACGCACTAGATGAACAATAAACGCACTAGATGTACAATAAACGCAACTGATGTACAATAAACGCAACTGATGTACAATAAACTCACTGAATGTACATTAAACGCACTGGATGTACAATAAACGCAGTGGATGTACAATAAACGCACTGAATGTACAATAAACGCACCTGATGTACAATAAACGCACTTGTTGTACAATAATCGCACCTGATGTACAATAAACGCACCTGATGTACAATAAACGCACCTGTTGTACAATAAACGCACCTGTTGTACAATAAACGCGCCTCATGAACAATAAATACACCTGACGTATAATAAATGAAGTGATGAAATAAAATAATGTAAATTTAAGGGGTAAATACTAGTTCTCTAATAATACTAATGAAAGGAAGGAATTAAATCTACAAAAAACATCTAAGCATTTAGAGTAACTTCTAGGGAATCAATGCATTATTTATTACTCACTAAAGTTGACCAGAAGAGACAGACGACAAGTTCCAACTTTGCCTTCATGGTGCTGATGATCTGGTTTAAGACTTTACTTCCAAAAATTACTCGCACTCAACTATTAAAGAGTCTACACCTGTTGAAAAATTTAATATCTTTAATTTCATGATTGCAATACGGTTATAATAACAATATAAAATTAACAAGTAATAACTTTAGAAATACAAAGGGATTGTTTTAAAATAATTTTGAGTTTTAATTTTCCTGCTGGCAAATTTTAGTAGAATTTGTATTAGGCTCAAAATTAAGATGCTGGTTGCAATTCATACATAAGAACAACCGCAGTTAGCACGCTGCGGCTAAGCATGGCACTGAAATTTATAATTCGATGATTTAATTTAATTGTATGAAGAACGATGCTGGAGAGTTTGTCAAAATAAAATAAAATATATGCGATAGAATCTCGACAAGCATCGGACGAAGCCTTTCAGGTAATTCACATATCGGCGGCTTCGGCATTGAACAAATCAGAATGGCTGAGCGTTCGTGTATAGCAAATCTGAAGTAAATAACATCACAATTCACGATTTAAAAATGTACGAAACAAATTTGTCCTCCGGCACCACTTATGAAAAGAAATAATCACAAGGAGAATCGCCGGTTGAGCAAAGATTCGAATTGAAATGATGTGTACAAATGTGACCCTCAATTTCTGCGCCACCTTCGTGCTGTGCCTCAGTGGAGCTACCGAACGCGTGCCACCGCAACCGCGTCCAACGCGGACGACTGCGTGGGTGCAGCGTCCACCGCCAGTGAGAACAACTTACCGCCACCTGTGATATGAAGGGTCCAGTGAGAACAACTTACAGCCCGTGTGATATGAAGAGTCCAGTGAGAACAACTTACAGCCCCCTGTGATATGAAGAGTCCAGTGAGAACAACTTACAGCCCCCTGTGATATGAAGAGTCCAGTGAGAACAACTTACCGCCACCTGTGATATGAAGATGTCCAGTGAGAACAACTCACCGCCACCTGTGATATGAAGAGTCCAGTGAGAACTTACCGCCCCCGTGTGATATAAAGGGTCCAGCGAGAACTAATTTTCGTCACGTGTGATATGAAGGGTCCAGTGAAGTAAACTTACCACCACTGGGATACTATTAAAACGTTATGAATGTTTTGTAGTTTTGATAATAATGTTTATGATTGAAATGAAAATTTCTTGGAAGGTAAATATTTACAGTTGTAGTTGTCGTGCTAGTCGTTGTTATAGTTTTGGTAATACTGTAGTTTTAGTTTTTTGATTATCACAAAAGACTGATAATCCTTTTTGAATCGACGAATGACTGGAAATGGCAATCTAATCTCTGAACTCCGAAGCCCTGACGTGCAAAATAACGCAACACATCCGGAAAGCCTCAAGAAAATCAGACTACATCAAACCATTTCAAGAGGTCAACGGCGCTTCGATTCTCACTATTTGGCTATGCTCACTTTTTGCTAGTGATTCTCCCTATTTGAAAATTATTTACGTAAATTTGCTTATAATGCCAATACCAAACAAATAAACATTACTCTGTACCATGTGCTTCTGAAAAACTCGTTGAATGTGAGCTCGTTGAATGTGAGCTCATTGAGTGCGAACTTATTGAATGTGAGCTCGTTGAGTGTGAGCTCGTTGAGAGTGAGCTAGTTGAATGTGAGTTCATTGAATTTGTACTTATTGAATGTGAGCTCGTTGAATTTGAGCTCGTAGACTGATAGCTTACTGAATATGAGCTACTTGAATGTGAACTTGTTGAGTGTGAGCTCGTTGAATGTGAGCTCGTCGAATGTGAGCTCGTTGAATGTAAGCTCATTAAATGTGAGCTCATTAAGTGTAAGCTCATTAAGCGTGGCTCTCTGAAAGTGAGCTAGTTGAATGTGGGCTCGATGAATGAGAGCTCGTTGAATGTGAGCTCATTAAATGTTAGCTCGTTTAATGTGGGCTCGTTGAATGTGAAAATGTGAGCTCACTGAAAGAGTGCTCGATGAATGCGAGCTCGTTGAATGTGATCTCGTTGAGTGTGAACTCTTGAAATGAGTGCTCGTTGAATCGATCACTCCTGGTGCACAGATGTAGGGAGCTTGAACAATAAATTCGATACAAAATTACTAACGAGACTGCGATCCTGTATAGATTGAACTATTTACGACGTCACGTTGACTGATTTATTAGAACGTGTCATGATATTGATGCTATTCTCAACGATTTACGACGACACATTGACTTATTTATTGGAAGGTGTCATGATATTGATGCTATTTTCGAAAATATTATTTTTCTTCATGCACAACCCATTAAACCGGACTGGTCACAACTGTGGTGAGTGCAAGGTCTGTTGTCGATCAAACATGCTTTTAATTTGCAGTTGTTCAAGTCTCACCATTACAAGTTGAACATAACAAAAATATCGTTTGTTAGAATAATATTCAAGCAAACTAATTTTTACAATCTCGAGCTGGACTAAAAATAGTTTTTCAAATGAATTCATTTGAATCGAGTCTCTTTTCGAGAACAGTTATGCCGCACCTTTAATTTTATTTGTTAATTTATATAAGAGCGGAGGTGAGTGGTGAGAGCGGGGAGTGTCTCGTGGTAACCAGGCAGGATCTGACCCGCGGTCTCGCCCTGAAGTTAAGCGAGACTGTCTCGTGTAATAATGACTTGAAGTTAAGCGAGACTGTCTCGTATAATAATGACTTGAAGTTAAGCGAGACTGTCTCGTATAATAATGACTTGAAGTTAAGCGAGACTGTCTCTGTCTCTTATACACATCTAGATGTGTATAAGAGACAGAACTAGTGGTAAACGCCATGAAACAAGTGGAAAACGCCATGAAACAAGTGGTAAACGCCATGAAACAAGTGGCAAACGCCATGAAACATGTGGTAAACGCCATGAAACATGTGGTAAACGCCATGAAACAAGTGGTAAACGCCATGAAAGAAGTGGTAAACGCAATGAAACTAGTGGTAAACGCCATGAAACTAGTGGTAAACGCCATGAAACTAGTGGTAAACGCCATGAAACAAGTGGTAAACGCCATGAAAGAAGTGGTAAACGCAATGAAACTAGTGGTAAACGCAATGAAACTAGTGGTAAACGCCATGAAACTAGTGGTAAACGCCATGAAACTAGTGGTAAACGCCATGAAACAAGTGGTAATGCTTCTATTAAACACGCACGTCAATAGCCTGAGTACATCACCGAATAAAAATATGTTCTATTCACAAATATTCCACTAAAATAAGCTGGTCTAAAGTGCACGGAATAAAAGATCATTTGTTCAGTAGCTATAATTACCCCCCCCTCATTACCCCCCGTCCTATTTAAACATAAAAAGCTAACTCACCAAATAAGCTTCCTGCTCTTTTGAGTAGCTGAACTGAACACTTGTTTTGTGCGTCAATGGAACTGAAGCTGTGTGAACCCTGAACAGATCTGTAACTGTTCAACAGGTGCGGCAATACTTGGGGTGAACAGGGCTGTTACTGTTAAACAGGTGCGCAATACTCCGGGTGATGAGAGCTGTTACTGTGCAACTGTTCAGTCAGATGCTGAGGCTTTTATATAATATTTATACAATAAGTAGAATCTTTTTAACAGTAACAGCCCTGTTCAAACCAAGTATTGCCGCACTGTTGAACAGTAGTAACAATGTGAACAGTAGTAGTAGTAACAGTAGTGAACAGTAACAGATCTGTTCAATGTTCACACAGCTTCAGTTCCATTGACGCACAAAACAAGTGTTCAGTTCAGCTCCACAAAAGAGCAGGAAGCTTATTTGGTGAGTTAGCTTTTTATGTTTAAATAGGACGAGGGGTAATGAGGGGGGGTAATTATAGCTACTGAACAAATGATCTTTTATTCCGTGCACTTTAGACCAGCTTATTTTAGTGGAATATTTGTGAATAGAACATATTTTTATTTGGTGATGTACTCAGGCTATTGACGGGTGTGTTTAATAAAAGCATTGCCACTAGATTGATGGCGTTTACCACTTGTTTCATGGCGCTTACCACTTGTTTCATGGCGTTTACCACTTGTTTCATGGCGCATACCACTTGTTCCATGGCGTTTATCACTTGTTTCATGGCGTTTACCACTTGTTTCATGGCGCTTAACACTTGTTTCATCGCGTTTACCACTTGTTTCATAGCGTTTACCACTAGTTGCATGGCGTTTACCACTTGTTTCATGGCGCATACCACTTGTTCCATGGCGTTTATCACTTGTTTCATGGCGTTTACTTATACTAACCTTTGCACTCAATTGCACTTGCAAACACCTTTGTACCTCTAAACGGCTTTCTAGCCACTTCTAAATTTACCCCAGCGGTAATAAATTAGAAGGTTAGTCTTGAAATATTTATTCTTATCTTTGTATAAATTTATCCATATATCTTGATCCTCATAATGAATAATTGCATACGATACAGTAGCGCTTGTTGATAAATCTAATCTTGGTTGTAACCGTTAATTTACAGTATAACCTCCGGTATATTCTCTCGTTGCATCTCCTTTGCCGTGTGCTTCATGCCTCCTGTGCAGTCAGCGCGACATTATTTCTGCTGTACACGTTGTTTCACTTGGGGTTAGACTGGCTGATGAGTTCACTGTCAAGTTTTGTACCGCTAAATTGGAATTACTGAGTATAATTCAGAAACTCAATCTCCGGAATTTATTTAGCAAGGTCTCTTTTTCTGCTTTCAGTTCCCTAAACTGCATCCACTGCAGTTCCGTTATTCTACTTCGCTGGAGCAGAAGTTTACCCTTTGGAGTTTCAATAAAATTGATAGCCGTTATGATTGTATAAATTCCTTACAGATGAATGACGTGCGGCCGGCCAGGAGCCAAAAAGTCATTTGGCTCCAACCTTTCGTCAAGATTGGTATAAAATTCTTATCTTTCCGAAGATAATTCCAGTTAGTACACCGTTATTTGGGTTTAAGTTAGTACTGATTTTTTTTGGCCAGCTACAGTATTCCAATATTTCTTTCAAAGTGTGGGCAATCTTCCTCATTTCTTCAAACCCACTTTTGAAGATTCACTTTTTTGAAGAACTCCAACTTCTAGTCAGATTCAACGACTGCCCAC